TATTGTGGTTGACCTTGACTTGTCTCCAGGTGCCCATGAAGTTGCACTACAACTCCTTTGCCCAGATGGGCAGGGTAGAGAAGATAAATGGAAAACAACTCATAGATTGAGATAAGGCAGTTTACTAAAGGAAAAGCAAAAAATTTGCATAAGCACAAGCAAAGAGAAAAAAACCAATTGTTCTCAACTTCCTATCAGCAAGCAAAGTTCAGCCACTTCCCAGGAAGTCGAGCTTCAGCACACATAGAGTTTGCTCCAGAATGCAAACATTGTAAACAACAGAAGCTCCACTCTCCTCCTTTCCTTAGCTTTTATATCTGAATAGATGTCATATGGCATGAAACATCCTTTTGGATATTTTGGGTCAGCTGACCTGGTTGTGTTCCCTCCCAAGATCTTGCTCACCCCCAACCCCTTGATGTGGGGAATATTGAGAGGGAGCTGTTGCTGTGCCAGTGATGCTCATCAGTACCCAAAACTCTGGTGTGTTATCAACACCTTTCCAGCCACCAATGAAGAGCACAACACTATTTAGGGCTGCTATGGGGAAAGGAACTCCAGGTCAGCCAGACTGAATACATGTATAATGAAAAAGGCTTCCATTCAAAATAAAACAAGAAAAAGCCTGAGAAAAGAAAAGGCTTTGGGAAAACTTTATAAAGCACAATAACATATTTTTTTTTCCTTACATGGAAGCATTGGAAAATTGCTGGAAGAACTTCTCTCCCTTTTACAGTCTCTATTCTAAATTCTTTGTGTTCAAACAGTGTAGTGTAAGAAATACTACTTCACTGCATTTACTGAATTCTCTCTTTTGTATATTAGGCCCTCATGTGGAAGGAAAGTGGAAGATAAAAGTCAGTTGCCCCAGTAGTGGTTGCATAAATATTTTGATGCTGTCAGGATTTCTACCTGTTCTCCAGATGCCATATTAAAAGGAAATAAATCTTATCAGTTGTGTCATACATAATCCATCTCAAATGGCACTATATAATTCTCTTTAGGCAGCCAATATCTGCCTAAAATTATGCTGACATATATTCTTAGACTGCTATTTTAACTAAATGAGTGACCTTGACAGGTTGATTCTAGATGGTTTCTTCCTTTTTTTGTCTGAAAATTAGTATGCAATCTTATAATTATGCCTCAGAAGAAAAAAATAAAAGAAAATCCTAACACTAGTTGCACTAATTTCATACAAAAATTCTTAGTCTTCAGAACTAAATACTTTTAAAATAGAAAATGCCTTTCAATTTAATTTTGGTAGGTGTGTTTCAAATCTAGAAATATAACACCCTTGAGAATGTAACATGTAACTATTGATTTTTTTATCTTTTCCTTCAAGATGAAATATATATTAGCACACTCATATAACTTCCTCAGATTTATTCTGTAAGAGTTCTGTAATATCTCTTTATGAGTCAGACTCCAGACTATCTCATGCTTGAGATGCCTGAACTGTAGCTATAAAAACCCTCATATAAAAAGTTTATCATCTGTTCCATATCTCCTTGGTACAATGCTAGCAAAGCTCCAAGCCACCTAGGCCTTCATAATAAACACTGACTCTGAAGGCAGAAAGACACTCTCTGGCTAAAGAGATGTCTAGCAATGCACAGTGGGGCAATCTGCTCCCTAAGGGGTGGGCAGCCAGGAGACAAGGTGGGGTCTCTTTCCAGCCAGGGTCTGTTGTTCTGTACCCAAGCAAGGCAAGCAAAACAGACCGAGACTCTCCTAGGAAACAGAGGCAGGCTTTAAAATACGTTTCTATTAGTAAATGGAAAGCAATGGAAAAACTTAAAAGGAAGATGGGTCAAGTTTAGGGACAGAACAAATGACAAGAATCATCCCCTAATGGGCATCTTTTACTTACGACAGTGTGCATGCTCTTTGAAAGAGTGATTTTTCAAGTTTTCCTTTCATTTAACTTCTCTACATTTATAAAACTCATTGAAAACAAATGAATGGTGTTCAAATATATCTGTAGTCATTATCTTCTTTATGTTGTTTCATGTAACTTGAAATAAACCTAATTTATTACTGTCTTGAAAACTGAATCCATAAAACATTTTCAGAGTATTAAAAACTGGTGACTTATGCTAATGGCAATTTATATACTGAAGAATGGATAATTATTATGAATAGGTGACAAAATGAAGTACCCAACTGAAACTGAGTGGTGGAAATGGTAGTTGTATTAAAAGCTGAGATGGTAGCTGTGTGCATGAATTCAGAATTAGCTAAAAATTTGTTTTCAGAAGTAAGAAATCTGGTCCTTGAAAGAAACTAACACTTCATCTATAGGTCTTTTTGTCTGTTATGTTGCATTATAGGTCACCATATCTGGATAGTTCTTGATGGTCCAGTTGATGCTATTTGGATTGAGAACCTTAATTCTGTCCTGGATGACAACAGGACTCTAACACTAGCAAACAGTGATCGGATACCTATGGCACCAAATTGCAAAATAGTCTTTGAGCCTCATAATATTGATAATGCTTCTCCAGCAACAGTTTCAAGAAATGGGATGGTGTTCATGAGCTCATAAGTTCTCACCTGGAGTCCTATCCTTGAGGTAGAACAGCTAAGTGTCTGGAAATGCATTGAAAGTTTTACTGGTTATTTCTTCAACACTTCACTCTTATTACTGTAGGACCTATTTTTGTGCCTTTTGCTATGAAATCCCTTTTTCTCTTTATGAACTTCTAGGTCAGTACTTAAAATAGCAATGTTCCTGGTAGTTTATACAAGAGTGAATAATTTTTAAAGGAACGTAGTTAATATATTACACTTTTAAGAATATGGCAATTTTACTTTGGGACAAATTTGTAATTAAAAGTGTTTTATGCAACTGAAGGACAACTCAGTTTTTGAAACACTAACTGCTTGGTAGCCCATAGTACAGCTTCAGATCAAGGAGAAAAAAAGAGTAAAGCTGATTCAGGGAACTTGAAATCCTCAAGAAAATAGACATTCTCTTGATGTTTCTTAAAATGTATTGCAGTTGGGATGTAGATCTAGAAATAAAGTCAATGCAGCATCAAAACATGTAATTTTTAAATAGATGTTGTTACTTGGTTATCTGTTAACATGCCTAGAAGCAAAGTATCTGAAGAACCAGGCAGTAGTAACTGTATCTCTGGCATGGAGTGAATAATTCAGAAAAACAGAACATGTTTCAGGCGTGTTTTAGAGTCAAAAACCACCATATAACATATTGAAATATATCAAAGTCATTTATAAAGTACTTTTTTTCCTTTTATATGTCATCTTTCATCTTCCAAAACCCAGTAAAAATAAATCCTAATTTTGACAGAATGCTTGTAACAATATAGTGAATGACAAATTCTGAGACTTGAGCACAGTGCTTTTTTTTTCATGTAGTAAAAATCTTGGTAAAGATGCAACATGAGAGTTCCCAAGAATCTACCAATGTTCCATAGTAATATATTTCAACAAAGCTTTCATCATTTTCTTCCAGTTTTCTTTTCTTCTAAGACAGCAATAGAGACAGTAGCAGTTAAAAAAAGTTGGTTTCTCAGTTGATTAAGCCCTATATTTCCTTAGAAATTTATCAATGAAGTACACTACTCAGAATTAATACTTTTTAATACTTTAATTTTTTTTTTCTCTGCATTTCTTCTTGTCTAGGCCATATTGTTGAGAATCTTTGGTTAACATTATTTTGCTTTGATGAATGTGGTCTGTCTCCTGAATAGCAATAACGAAAACTTTCTCCTGCATGGTTAATATAGTTATTGCTGTAATCATACAGATAATTACTTAATTACCTTACCCTGAAGCCCAAGTATATTTCACTATAATTCCAAATTAAATTCCTTTATATGGGATTTAAACTTTAATTTAAAGATGGGAATTATTTCCTGTTTATGAAATTGGAACACCATCCAGGAGTTTGTAGTGTGTTTGCTTCCCTGTTTTTCAGGCTCAAAAGGATAAAAATCTATAGTTACTATGAGCTAACAGACTAAATTTTACTGTCCTCCTTTCTAGAATGTATCACATGAACAAGTTTTTTTAGAGATTAATGTCTTACAGTCTCATTCAGTCATTTAGTTTTCTAAATAAAATAGGATACCAGTGGAAAATGCAACAAATACTCACCTAGTTAATGTTTACCTAATCCTATGAAAATACAGCTGACCTGACATTAACTTTCAGGCGTCAGCCTTTTGTAGTGATTACTCTGTTATTATCAGACTTCTTATTTCTTTAACCTGCAAAGGTTCTCATGCTTGTAAATTTTATATAGCTTGCTGTTTATAAGCAGATTCCTTGCCCCTAAATCCCTGATTTGTCTGGCAACAGAGGAAAATTGGCTTGTGGCACTGCTTAGAACCACTGTCCTTAGCAAAATAGAAGTTTCAGCCCAGAAAGAAATTGAGACAGTATGCTGTAGTCCAAGCCCCAAGTGCTAGGCAGTGCCTGGTGCCTCTCTCTGGGACTGGAGGCAGTGGAGCTCCTCTGGGAAAAGTGAAGCCAGGGGATGCGTTTTGGTGAGCATAAATTACCAAGGTGAGGAAGACTGTAAACTTGTAATTTCTAGCAACGGTCACAAGATTTCGTTGCCACCTGTGGATCTGAAATGGCCAGTCAGGTACAATGCCTGGAAAATAGGTGAGGAGCAGCAAGACCCATTAGGCAAGGCACCAGAATCCTGCTTAGCCTTAACCCATTAGGAGGAAAAGAAATGGGATTGTTGTCAGGTATTCCTTCCTGTCTTGGAAACACCTGTGTCTTGTTGACTCGTTGCACACTTGGAGGTTTGCTGCTTGAGAGGAACTGAGGGTTGCTGCAGAGGGCTGATACTATATTTTTCTAGTAGTATCTGAAACTTTTTCCATTTAGAATGATATTAAATCACATAGAAATTTTTATTCAGTCACAGGTCTCTGCAACACTTGAGAATCATCACTAATTCATTTGATGAGTTTCTTTGCCATGCCCAAAATATTTGTAGTCCTATTATGGAAAAAGTGTTTAACAAGTTTCCTAAAAAATTGGCTGGCAAAACTTCAGTTTTACCAACGCAAATACATGCAGTAAATACAAGTATGTTACTGCCAAGTTTTATTTTTATTTTTTTTTAATTTTTTAAATTAATATGGATACTCGGGAAAGTGTAAATTTTGAATCTAGGACAGTGGCTCCCCTGAGATTTCACTTGTGTTATTCCTTTCTGTGCTTTCAACTCTGTATAGGGCCTACTGATCTTAGGTTCTCCCAGCTCTGCCTCCTTGCATTGTTTGCAGACAACCACTCCTTGGATGTTAAAGATTGTGCTAAAGATTCAGCTGCAAAAACAGCAGAAAGAAAAGCATTTTAATTTGCATTGTCACTCATGGTTTACCTCCTCACAAATGAGATGCAGGCTAAATTTAGTTGTGTTGAAGAGTTGTATGAAACTAGTTTTCCTTAATCCATAACCTTATGGTTTTAGTATATTTCAGTGGTAGAAACAGACTAAAGAAACTTTTTTTTTTCAACTTTTGGATTACATAAGCAAAATTATGTTCAATTCACCATGAAGTAACCTTTCCAACTGCCCTTCCTTTCCTCCTTATAAAATTTGCTATAAAATTGAGGGCTATTGTTATTTATAATTTGTTCCAATAGCATTTCTTTGGGTTTTTGGTTTGGTCTTGCATCATAGATAAAATGTCTTGATGGCTTTTTCAGTATACCTCCCTTGAAATCTATTTTTTAATACAATACACTTCATATTCCAACAGGTCAGGGTAGATGTTAACCTTGCTGATTCTCAGATGATGAATGAAACAGTACTCATTGATATTTCAGAGGAACTTTAAAACATGATTAATGACAAATATGGATAACTCAGGAAGTTGTTGTATATATTTTTATTTTCAATCCTTACCATTCGCAAACAAATAAATATAGCTGCCTCCTTGGATACATTATTATGACATATGCAACTTCCAAGTTCAGTGAAATAGTTCTCAAGTTCATGTTGCTGTTTTCATGTAATATGCTTCTTAAGCAGTTTATGCAAAGAGATCAAAGGTATTTGATCCATTACTCGTCAACCTTCTCTAAAGCAAACACATCTTATCAGCTTTTCTACTAACCCCTAATATTTTTTGAACAATCAGTGAATTTTGGATATCTATTTTAAACACTTCTGCATTTTAATTTTCATCACTTTGTTTTCCACCTACCCATTTTAGAAAGGTTTTTCATAAATATCCTTATTTATAATCAGTCTCAAAATTTATTTACTTTGGGAAGTCAATGTATAATTTAAAAATATTATGAATGTAGCTGAACGGATAATAGAAGCACAATATAGTTGAGTTTGGAAAGAACCTCTAGAAATAATATTGAATACAACATTAGTCAAGTCAATCTAGAGGAGTTTGCTGAAGTCTGTGTCCTGTTGAGTTCTGAGATGGAGACTTCAGGAGCTCACTGAGAAGCCTACTCCAGCTTTAACTACTTTCACAAGACAAAAGCATTCTATGTTTAAAGCAAATGTATTTGATTTCAATTCATTCAAAATTTTGTTTTGAGTTTTGGGGGTTTTTGCTGGTGATTGTATTTTATGTAGGAAGTAAATTTATGGGATGTAAATGAGAAGTATTCTACCCTGCAGATGAGAGAAAACTTCAAGGTAACACCAAGAATCATGTTATTACTTTGAATTAAAGGCATCAAAGAATGAATCCTCTTCTATGATCTTAAGAAATGGGTAGTTTATTTAGGTTTTGTTTATCCATCATTACAAATACTGAGATACACAAAAGAATGCTAAACACACCAGCAGACCTCCCCCCGATGTCTTGATTTTTTTTTGTATATCTGCCAGATCTTTCAGGTTATCCTCCTCCCCATTAGAAATAAGGTGTAGAATAAAACAAATTTGTGTTCAGTACATATTGTTTGGTTTCTTTGCAGAGTTTTTGGATACCTTTCACAACTGTTGTGATTAAAAAATATTTGAAAATAATTATTTTTGTGCTGTTAAACACAGTTTTTTCTTTTCCATTCTCTTCATATTTAACATCCAGTAGGAATTATGCATACTTCGGTAAAATTTGATCCTCTGTTAATTAAACCCTTAACTTAATTAAAACTTAACTCCCTCCCTTCCTCCCCCTTCTTCCATTCTGCCCCCAAAAAATCAATATTCCACACTTCCTGAGCCTTTTGAATTACTGTACTTTAATTCATTGAGACTTGCTTTGGGAACTAAATTTATGCTTTACAACAGGGATTTTTGAAAAAATGTTCTTTTCAAGAGGCTGAAATTCTACGTCAGCTGTATTCTTCATCATTCCCAGACTTGTACCGCTTCAGCATTCAGTCTCTTCATTGTGAGACTGAGATGTTGGAAGCCTTTGTGATTATGCAGAGCATTAATATGCTGCAAGGCCTTATCCCACCTAAGGTAGGTAGTGTGAATGTTTTTCCATATACTTAACATATTGTAGATAATTTTAAGTAAAAAAGTTTTATGAAGAGAGATTCTTTAATGACTTAGAATGTCAAAGGAGATGCAGGTTAATATGGAATGCCTTCTGTTTCTTTAGAAAATAATAGCTGGGATGTGATCTCTTTCACAGTTTTACATTTGGATTTGATGTTAAGCACTGGTTTATGTTAAGCACATGGAGCATGCATTGACAGTTCTCCTTTTTTTACTTTTGGGTGATTTGTTATCAGTTTATATTGATTCTGTCTGATCATTGAAGACGTCTCTAAATTTATATGCAACTGAAGACTTCTAACCTCATGTTACTAATGATTATCAAGTAGAGTTTTCAGGCTGTTGAAAATTAAAACCTAACTCAATACTTCAGGAGCAAGGTAGGGAACTGACTCCAAAATATTTGGAAAGGCTGTATATGTTCTCTCTCATGTGGAGCATAGGAGCATTGCTAGAGCTGGAGGACAGGTGCAAAATGGAATACTGGCTTCGAAAACACACAACAGTAAAGCCTGATCTTCCTTGTATCCCAGAAGCTAGTGAAGATACAATGACTATTATGCGGCATCTGATGGTTAGTAACTCAGCAGGGTGATATGGGGTAAAATTAAAAAGCTATTTTATAATTGTGCTTTTTTAATAGAGAATTAATCCAGAAGTATTTTATAGCTTTTCTTCTTTTGTGTCCCTTAGCAAGTTTTATGGCTATACTTTACTGGTGTTGTTGTGTTTAGCGTTTTCCCTGTTTCCAGGGAAAAGTCAGAATGTGGATATATTACCACAAAAGCTGCATGGACTTTGTGGTGAACACATAATCCTTGTTGTTGTCATAATTTATGTAGAAAAGACGAGTAAGCCTCTTAGATACACTTGAGGGATTCTATGATTATATGATTCTATGAATTTTATTCTGGATACACAGAGAGGGACTTCTGTACGTGAGACAGAAGCATAGACAGATGAGTGAACTGAATGGAAAATAAACAAAGTGATGATGCCTAGTATTTCTAAAACATGAAATTAATTTCTTTCTTATTACGTACATGGATGCACTGGAATACACATGTTGAAGAGTATGCATATCCCACTAGTGGTACCCCAGAGTATGACTCAATTCTTGTGCCTAATGTTGACAATGTGAGAATGGATTTCCTTATTGGAACCATAGCAAAACAGGGCAAGGTACTTTTTTTATAATTCATATCAAAGCACTGCCAACAGAACACATGAGAAAAGTTTTGATTAGCAGTGAAATATTATGTTATTGAAAAGGAAAGACTTAATTTTTTTTTTTTTAAGATATAAGATAGTGTTTCCAGAAGCTACTTTCATGCAAATGTGCTTGAACTCTTGAATAGTCACTACTTCCAGACTTTTTTGTCTTGTTCTCACCCCTTCATTCTGTAGTGGAAAGAATTGTAATTATGTTGAGATCAGGTCAGAATGGAACAAATTTTTTCATGTACTGATGAAGGGAGAAGCACATAGGTCAGGAGGCTCATATCTGACTCTGCTGATTGAACTCTGCCAGCATGGGGCAGTTACAGAATTTATGTAGCTTTAGGTTATGAAACCCTATTCTTCACCAAAACTGTGTCACATAAGCAATTGAAATTTCACAGATACTGAGTCTCTAGATGATTAAGCCCTTTTTCAAATAATTAACTCCTTTCCTTTTTAGTGTGACTGTACTGGATGACATGACCATTAACAGCAAATATTTTTAACTTGTCAGGCCTGCAAAAATCTATGAAACATTAACTATTTTACTTCTACATATCTCTTCTGAAGCATTCACTTTACATATTTTTTCTAGTTTATTTTCTGTTTAAAAGCTAAATGGGACTGTTGAGCCTTTGCCAAGACACACAGCTCTTGTTTCATCTTATTTCGATGTTGTCTTTGTCTAGGCTGTCCTACTAATTGGTGAGCAAGGAACTGCGAAGACTGTTATAATCAAAGGTCTTACATCAAAATATAACTCTGAAAGGCACATAACTAAGAATTTGAGTTTTTCATCTGCAACGACCCCATTCATTTTTCAGGTATAGTACTGATTAATCTTCTCATACAAGAAAAGTCTGATTTGCCAGGAGGATGCTTCTGAAAGTAATTCTAAACAATAAAAAAGCACCTGTTCAAATGCTCCCAAGTGTTCTAATGCATGATTTAAGACTTCTGTAAAAAAATAGTTCCTTTCAACTTTTTCAGTAGCTTTTGAGCTGTTCTTGGACTTTTACAATAACATGTCTATTATTGTCTTCATCATTTTATGTTTTTGTGTCAATTGTGTCTGTTCTCACTAACTGGGAAGAGCTGTTAGATTTCACTAAACACCATGGGTAAAATAAGTGGTACCCACAACAATCTGTCATTAAAAGTGTGCTGTCTACAATTTAATGTCATTACAATTACTCATTAAAAAAGTAACACATGCAGTGGAGCTGCTCTACATACAATTATGAATGCTTAAATCCCAAACTGTACTGCCTGTCCAGAATTTCTACCAAACTAATTTGAATTATTTCAAGTGTCTTTAACCTCCTGGCAATGTATTTGTGGAATATTTTTAATGCAGTCTTGTATGCCATGCCAAAGCACTGTCTGCACTGTAAGTGCGGTGTATAAGCTTGATGAATCAGCTATCATTTGCCTGTATAGCATAGTAGAAACTACTAACATGTTATATAGTATACAAACAAGTAGTTTTGGTCTAAATTTCCTTTGGATTTTTTTTCTTCTATTCACTGGGCTATAAACAAAAAGTAACATATTTTTATAAAATAAATGTAGATTTAATTTGTGATAGGTGAGATTGTGATGATCAGGACATCTGAAATAGATGTACAAGACTAAGTCAATTCTCTGTTAACAATCGAGATCAAAATATTCTGTTATGACACATGCTTTAAAATTACTCTAGCTTCTTAAAATCTTCGTCTAACTGATGCCAGTTGTGTAAGACTGGAGCCCAAGCATAGTGTAAGAATGCAGATATTTAGGTTTATACTGAAGAATAATTATGTATGGTTAAGTGAATTTTCACTTAGGATAGAGTAAATAAAATCTGGACCTTAAGAAGAACATAGAAATGGAAAGATGACAAGAAGAACAGTAGAGGCAGGTCTACCATTAGGCAAAATTTTCTCATCAAGTGTATTTATATATGTGAGTTTATTAGAAATATATGCTTTTATGAAGTCCATTGATACCTCCTGGAAAGGTGTTCCAGAATTACATCTTCAATTTGATCTTTATTGCTAGCAATCATCAGTTTTGCTGATAAATTAATAAAATGAAAAATTTGAAACCTATTCAGGTTTATGAAAGTGTTAGGCATGGTTGCCTACTGTAGACACCAGACTAGTGCTGTATACCTTGAGATTTCAGACATTCTAGTTGAACTAGTGCAATTACCTCCAGCAAATGCCTTGTCTAAACCTCACTTAGTAAAATTCTATGTAACAGAACCATCAATGTGTTTAAGTGATTGAATCATGTATGAAATGAAGTGACCTTTGTAACTATGCTGCTAATTGCTTTTTAACAGCGTACAATAGAAAGTTATGTGGATAAGTGCATGGGCACAACTTATGGTCCACCTGCAGGCAAAATGATGACAGTCTTCATTGATCATGTGAACATGCCCATAATCAATGAATGGGGAGATCAGGTTAGTTTGTGGAAGAAGAAAAAAAAAGACAAAAGGTTTTCTTTGCTTTTATGCTACACTGTAAAATTGGCTTCTCAGTCATTCAGAATAGGGTGAACTTGATATGTAGTACTTTAATTTTAAACAGTCTTTTTAAAGAACCCATCTGCATTAATTTGTCAAGAATTAATTGAAAATAAATATGCTGACAGCAAGAAGAAGTTTGAGTGCTCCCTAGAACGTGCCTGTATAATTTTAATAATGTTTTTTAACAACACTCACAATTAAAAATAAGAAGTCTTTGGCACACAAATCGTGATAGTGAACTGACCTTGTGGGCAATAATTGAAATACTGTGAAACCTGAGAGGTAAGACATGTCTTCTCTGCTTCAGACAAAATGGAAGTAATCTTTTTGTATATTGACAAAGTTATTCTGAAGCACATTGGTTTGGAAACTAATGTTAGAATTTCTATAGGTACATAGCTATAGGATGTATTCTCTGTGTGGTGTTTTCATCTTGTCAAACAGAAATGTAGGGTATCCCTTTATAGCTAGAGAAAAGGATCTTGCATGCTTTTGTATGGAAGTAGTTCTATTATTTCAAATTGAAAACCATGCTTGATATTGTTATATATCCAACTTCATACAAATATTTTGTATCATTTGCAACATGATACATTAGTTTGGGCTTGATTGAAAAAAGATGCAAAGATGCATTATTTTGGGCTTGACTAGAAAAACTGGAAATTTTGTTTTAAAAGACAGAAGTATTTCCAAGAGCAATGGAAATCATGCAGCATTCAAATGAGAGCAAATTGTTGTATGAATGATTAGTTCTAAATGGGGGCACCCTTCTAGTCCCATGATTTTTATCCTTTGATTTTATCAAATGTGCTTATTTGCAGTGCAGCTTTATCCTGAAGCAAATAAGCAGAAGTTTAGGGAACAAGATAGTGTTATACTCTTTCTTAGGTATTTCAAACATAGTAAGTATGTTTTGCATTTCATTCACTTGTATGTATAATATTGTCTTATACAAAACCTGTTTTTTTACAGGTCACTAATGAGATAGTTAGGCAACTGATGGAACAGAAAGGACTGTATAACCTGGAAAAACCTGGGGAATTTACCAACATCATGGACATTCAGTTTTTGGCTGCCATGATCCACCCTGGGGGAGGTCGCAATGATATTCCACAGAGGCTGAAGAGACAATTTTCAGTGTTCAACTGTACTCTGCCTTCCAATTCTTCCATTGACAAAATTTTTGGTAAAGGGAAATTAGCTTTATATCCATCTCATTTTTTAAAATAATAGTTGATTTTCCCTTATCATTCTATTGGTACACATTATTGTTAAAATTGAGGCTTAGTTCCCCTCTGACTTGTTTATCAGCACATTTTCCTTCAGTAATCACTCCCCACCTGCAATGTCATCAGTCTGTAAATTTTTTAGGTTCAGTCATGTGTCTGAAACTCTTGGTATGCTCATATTTAATAAGAATGACATGAAGGTATTGTTTTAGTGACAATGCTGGACAGTAGCTCAGGTGCTGCTGCTGCTAAGAATAAGTGACTAAAGACTAGGCTTTCACAAAGAATGGGTCATACTGATTTCAGGAGATTAATTATTCAAGGCCTGTGGAAACTATTTTGTGAGAAAAAGAACATTTTAATATGCTGTTAATTAAAAGCTAAAATAACCACTGAGTAAGTGGCAGAATGGTGTTAAGAATGGCTGAATCAAAATTTGAATAAACACTAGAAAGCCATTTTAACAAATCTGGAAAGTTTCTTGGGATTGGAAAAAAGAAGAAACAGAAGCTTCAGATAATCATTGCTCTTGGTGTTGCACTAACGTACCTTTGATTTGGCAATCTTTCTTTCCACAGGTGTAATTGAAGAAGGACATTACTGTAGCGAGCGGGGATTTTCAGATGATGTGAAGGAAACAGTAGCCAAATTGGTTCCATTGACACGCAGACTGTGGCAGATTACCAAACTAAAAATGTTGACCACACCAGCCAAGTTTCATTATGTCTTCAACCTTCGAGACCTCTCGAGGATTTGGCAAGGAATGCTGAATGCTACATTGGAAGTGATCAATGAACCGCAGGTAAGTGTAGCACATCAGTGACCTTATTATAATTAATATAGAAAAGGGGATGAGAGTCTATCTTGGCATTTGAATTTGCTTTAAAAAAATGCAACCTTAGTGGTTTTTTTGGGGCAAAGGTGTTCCAGTCCAGCTTTTATAGCACCAACTGAAATGACAAGTTTGTTTCAAAACAATGAAAAAACTCATTTATTTTGTCATAACGGTTTGCTCCTATCTCCTTTTCCTATTACTGACAAATGCTAGTTTATTTGAAAGAAGTGAGAAAATAAGTGAGAAGCAATGAACTCACTTTAATCCAATGAAAATACTTATATATTGATTAAAAAATTGAATAGTTCCTCCTCTCCATTAGTATCTTGAGACTTTCAGTCACTGCCTAATTTCTAACAAATGGTTTCTGGCTTATGTTTTAAAAAGAAGTAGTGACAAGTATTACTAGTACTTTTTTTTCCATAATCCATGTTTCTTACAGTAAAACACAATTTCTCTTTTAATTGTTTTAAGGAAAAGCCATTTAGAATTTTAAGCTCTGAAACATTTAGGGCTGAAAAAGCAATGTTTATGGTAAATATGGAAAATTTGTTAAATATTTGGGTTATATAATAGCTTTACGTACAATGTGCATCTCTGTTGAATAAGCTCCTGAATTCTACTGCATCTAAAATTTAAAATTCAGAATGGATTTTAATTTCTGCAGCAAAAAACATGGAGCACTTATGTATTGTATATACACACTTAATGTGTTTTGAAGTGTAAAAACCCAAATACTATAATACTATTGGTCAAAATACTATAATATAAATTTACATATTAGTTCTGAGACTTGACATCGTATGTATCAATTGTACAAAGTGCTGTAGGCTGAACAAAAGGTCTTCAAGAAGTATCTGGAATTTTTTCTAGTATTGTAAGGTAATAGTATAGGATTAAAATCAGTGCTGCTGGTATTGACAGCCTGACAGGTTCTTCTTCATCCTGTGACCAAATGGAGAGACTTTAAAGGTATATTGAATTTGGAGAAGGGATAATATAAACACTTAAACATTTTTTCTTTGTTGTTTTTCTCTAACTATTTTGGCTGTAGCATAGGGAGTGATATCTGTGTTTGGCATGAAATTCTTCATGCCATAATGCTTATATTTTCACCCACCTTCTCCGTAATGGCCAGTTAGAAAAGTGTTTTATCAATACATAAACATATTAACTGGTATGGATATGGTTTCAGGGCTGAGGGAAAAAAATCTTCATACACTTCATTTTGGAATGATAGATTAAGGCTTCTTCCATAGGTAACTGAATATAATCTTAAATTGCTATTGGCCAGAATAAGAAGCTCAAGGTATCTCTTCTAAAGAACCCCCACAAATACTATTTCTTTTTTAATATTAATGTTATTTTTAAATTAAGAAATGAAAGTAAAGCTTTAAAGTTGGTTTAGTGTTTTTGCAAGCCAAATGAGGTCTTCAGTACAAGACAGACATAGAACTCCTGGAGCATGTCCAGCAGAGAGCTACAAAGACAGTTAAGGGACTGGGGCATCTCTGGGGACTGAGGGAGCTGGGTCTGTTCAGCCTCAAAATGACAAGACTGAGGGAAGACCTCATCAACGGCTGCCAGCATCTAAAGGAAGACCATCAGGAGGACAGAGCCAGGCTCTGCTCAGTGGTGCCAAGCAATGGGACAAGAGCCAGAAACTGATTCACACCTGAACATGAGGAAGAACTTCTTTACTGGGAGGGTGATGGAGCCTTGGAACAGGTTGCCCAGAGAGGTTGTGGAGTTTTCTTCACTGGAGATATTCAAGAACCATCTGGATGCAATTCTGTGCCATGTGCTCTAGGGTGACCCCGCTTGAGCAGGGAGGATAATCCACTGCAGTCCCTTCCAGACTGGCCCATTCTCCTTCTGTGATTCTGTGAAATGTCTCCCCTCCCCTTTTTTTTCTTTTTTTTTTTTTGTTACGTAGGTGCTGATAAAACTGTGGAAGCATGAATGCAAATGTGATATTGCTGATCGTTTCACAACCTCAGAAGATGCTAATTGGTTTCACACAGCTGTGGCAAAACTCATTGAGGAGGAATTTGAAGATCCAAAAGCTTTGCTGCATCATGAAGCAGATGCATTCTTTGTTGACTTCTTAAGGGATGCACCTGCAAGAATGGGTAAAGATTGACTAATAATCATGGAAATGACAAGAATAGGCAAGGGGATATGATAATCATAGATATTAAGAAAAATATGTTTTAAAATCTCATACTAAGTGTATGCATCAAAAGTGTCTGTTTTGTTCAGTGGCTTTGAAGGTAGTCTACGTTACCAACTGTGGCACATTTTTATTATAATGAGATTTCTAAGTCTGTATTGATATTCAGGTTGCCTGTGTAAGAGAGCCTTGCTTTCATTTAAATTGGTGTGGCAGAAAGAAGAGCCAAATAGTCTTCACGAATCTTTATTCCAAAATGATAATGGAAATGTGTTAGAAATACCTTGAAATGGTGGCGTTGCAGTACTAGATAAAGGATAGCAATGTAGGTAACATGTCCTAAAAATCTGATAAAAAATTACTGTCTCTGGGCTAATCCAATAGTCTTTAGGAAATAACTGTTACATGATTTTGTAACAAATGACTATTAATTCAAATTTTCCCTAATGCTAGTTACACCTCTTAAAAAACCCATTTGACTTTCAGCAATTCCTTTTTGTCTTTCAAACAAAAACAGGGTGACACTGACCTCACTAATTGACCTGGGAATATTTATCAATTGTTGCAAAAGAATAGAAAACAGTTACTTGTGTTTAGGAGAAGGCCATTGGATGATTCTATTATCTATGTTGGTATCACTGCAACGACGGAGAGTGGAGGCAATAAGAGACTGGCATGAATGGCCAATGCTATTTGAACCTTTCCTTGAACAATTTAGAGTAGACAAAAGGCAGTGACAAAAGGGAATAAAGGATAAGATATATTTCATTAGAAGGAATCAAAGAGAAGTAAAAGTAAACTGGTGTAAGAAAGGAAATAACTTGCTAATTTTTATCAGTATAAAGATGACTGAAAAGTAAGTCAGAATGCATACTGAAAGGATGAAGAGTGATCTTTAGTACAAAAATTTAAGCCCACACTAGAAATCATCATATTGAACTGAAAAAGAAATATAAAATAATAAATGTATTTCTCAAAATTATTGGCCTTCTTGGTGACAGATTAAATGTATCTGTCCTGTAATATGCCTTTTAGCATGAAACTTCATCTAAATAGAAAGCAGGAGACTCTCATATAGAAAGGCTGTATTTGGCCCTTAATAGATTTTGGGACCTAACCTAAATCCTGAGCCTTGAGAACCCCCTTTCTGTTTTTGGCTTTAAATGAAAAGAATAACAAGTGTAATTTTGTTTTATTTGTCCCTATAATGGCATTTTGTATTTCCCATTATGATGGAAGTGTGAGAGCAGGACCTTGATTTCTGAGCTCTTAAATACATAAAGAATGATGTCTGACATTGACTTCAGAGCCCTATGCTCAAATTAGTAATATGTTTACTGGTATTACATAATCTTTTTGTCTCTGGGTTGTAAAAGTACAATGTGTTTGTCCCTGAGAGAAATACACAATGATTTAAATCTTAGTCAACTTTTAGATCTTAGCTTCAAAGGAATTGTTAGTGGTGCTAGTGATCTCAAGACCCTTCATCTATTCAAAGGTATTTTTATCAGTTGGTTTTGTCATTGTTATTTAGTATTTGTGATTATGAATCTTGAGACTGAGCAAGATTTAAAATAATACATTTTGCTAGCTGCCTCTCTAAATAGTGGAAGAGTCTGCCTTTTCTTAGGTTTTGTACTTGATTATACTGTCCTTGGACATTAATAATGAAACTGTAGGAACAGAATTAAGGTGATATGTTTATTTTTAAATGTTTCAAAACTGTAAAAATATCACTGCAGTTTAACTCCTTGATGTATTTCTTATTAGTTTCTTAGCTCCTAATTTGTTTAAATGTCTTATTCAACTTGTAAGAAATTTATTTTCACCTGGAATACTCCTTTTGTTTAACCAGTGCTTTTACAGGTTAAAATAAAAAGTGAATTGATTTAATTAAGTTTTAATCTAGAGACGTGTTCATATGCAGAAGCAATATAGAGCTAAAAATTATGAAATTAAGGTGACAAACAAAATACGCAATATAAAGGACAGCTGAAAGAGAATTAATAATATATTGAGAGAGTAGGTTCTGTGTCAAAATGTGAGTTTCTTAAACTATGTTTTTGAATATGTATTTTTGGGTTTTAGTTTCATTATTGTTTTTATGTTGTTTTTTTCCTTTGAAACTGCATGAGCATTAGAATGGTGCAATGGAAAGGAAATAGAGAAAAAAATTGAAACAAGAAAAAAGTTACTGACACTATTCTAAATACAGTAGAGTTTATTGGGGGGTTGGAGTTTTTTCCCCATCGTTCTATTCCTAACCTTCACACTAGCTACTAGTGCTTTACTAAGCCTTAGGGAAATACTTATTTTACTGGGATGACTTATTGAATTGATTTTAATTCTACTAATTAGAGATAATGTTCTGAATTATATATTTCTTCAGCAAGTTTGGAGAGGCTTAGCAAAACCGATTGATCTAGGATAACTGGAAAAATACATACTGTAGCATATACAGATCATGAAATCCTGAAACTAACTGAGCTAAATGTATGTAAATAAGATCAAACTTGTACTAGTATTATTTTTGAGGATATCCAAACCAGCAACCAAAACCCCCCTGTTGTCTGCCTGCTGGCACTGTTTCAATGAGTTTTGTCAGTCATTTATTAATGACATATGGTCTGGATGAGAAGTGAAATGGATTGAAAATTGCTGAATAGTCAAGCCCAGAGAGTGTTGATCAGGTTCAAAGTTTAATTGGAGACCAGTAATTAATGGTGCTTCCCAGGGGTCAGCACAGAGTCCAGTTATTCTCAACATTGTCATTAGTAGTCTGGGTGATGGGGCAGAATGCACCTTCAAGCTAGTTCCCAGATGAAACAAAACTAGGAGGAGTGGTTGATATGCCAGAGGTTGTGCTGGCTCCCAGATGGACCTTAACTGGAACTCCATAAGGTTCAACAAAGGGAAGAGAAAAGGTCTGGACCTGGGGAGGAAAGGTCCCACACACCAGTATACACTGGTGGCCACACATCTGCAAGTCAGCTTTGGAGAAATGGACCTGGAGGTGCTGGTTGACACCAGTCTGAACGTGAGCCAGTAGTGTACCCTTGCAGGAAGAAAAAACTATTGACATCCTGAGCTGCGTTAGAAGAAATGTAGCCAGCAGGCCAAGGGAGGTGGTCCTTTCCCTTTTTCAGCACTTGGAGTGCTGTGTCTGAGTCTGGGCTCCCCAATACAAGAAAGACATAGATATAGTGGATGAAATCTGTCTAAGAACATGAACATCAGTAATCTTTTTTTTTTTTTTTTTTTTACTGTGACAGTCTGGTGCAGGTTGTCTAGAAATGTTGTGGAATCTGTCTTTGGAGGTATTTGTAAGACACGTGAGCATGGTCTTTGGAAACCAGCTCTAGGTTGTTCAAGGCCTATCTTGAGCAAGGGGTTGGACAAAATGACCTTCAGAGTTCCCTGCCGACCTCAACTTTTCTGCAATTTTATTTGCTGTAAGAATTCTTATTAACCAGGGCATGTCACCTTTCAGCATGATTAAGGCTATGAATGAGACAGCAGCACTGTTACCTCCTTTCTTTGAGAGTTGACTTGTGCCTTTCATATCACCTGAGGAAACAAATGTATGCTAATTCACAGTGAATATATTTTTTGTTGTGGAAGTTAGTAATTTCAAGAGTATGTTTTTTCTAGTGCAATTATTTAATCAATTTAGACTGTTTTTCTTTTACAGAAAAATTATTTGCAATTTTTAACTGCAGTATTTATTTACCTTCATTCTCTAGTGCTACTTTTTTCCCTAGCACTTAAACAAGTATCATTTTTCATCATTCAAGTTTCAGATAAAAAGAAAGAAGGCAATTAATTTTTTTTTCTCGTTTTGTCTTTAAAAATGGTGTTGCTGAAATTGCCATATCTTACAGGTAGGGTGTACTCAGCACTCTCATATGTACATCTAACATATAATATTATGTATATTAAATCTGTTTCTGGGTGGTGAAACTTCTAGTTATCTTCACTTACCCCCTCATCGAACCTTTGTCAATTATTTAAACTGCTAAGATTTTATTGCTTGCTTTTTGTTCTAGATGAGAAACCAGAGGAATATAATTTAGATATTCCCAAAGTCTATGAACCAATCTCCTCATTTCATCAGCTACGGAATAGTTTAAATAATTTTTTATATACATACAATGAGAATGTTCACGGTACTGGAATGGACATGGTTTTATTTGAGGATGCTATGGTTCATTTAGTCAAGGTACAGTCTTGCTGGATTGTCATTTGTTGTTGTTCACTTGCCTACATCTCCTTTGAGTAGAGGTATGCATGAATCAAGGTAAATTACTTCTGAAACTGCAGCAACTAATTTATTGCTATCAAATATTTGATCTGTCATACTTTGACTAGGTATTAAAACCTATTAAAAACTTTTCAGAAAATGCACCACATGGAACTATTCTTTTATACCTATCTTTTGTGTTTGGTTGTATCATGGTGCTAGCTATTCTAATTCTATTTCAACCTTCCTTCTTCTTAATTCTTCTGGGAACCCTTCCTGTCTTTGGAATGAGTCAAATGAAATTCAGGTTAAGACATAATTGTTTGCTTCTGAAGGAGTATGCACAGCAGAGTACGAATTAATGCAGTCCAAAATTCTTCTGTAGATCCACAGTATGCTCACTCGATTTAAAGTTCTTTTGAATATGGATTGAAGCTGACCATAACATTGACCACAGCACAGCTTGATAAGATTGTTCACACAGAATAGGCCTCATACAAAGGAGAGCCTTTTTTTTTTTTTAACACTAGAAACCCTATTGTCTAAGTTGAATACCAAGGTTTTCAGTAATTTTTAAAAATTATGAAGAACTAAATATGTAATTGCATCATCCTCACAAATACAATATTGAATATCAAAACAATTTAAATGTAATTATAATTGAAAAACACATTGCATCTGCAGTTTTCAAAAATTTTGGGTGAATTCTTGTTATTTCACAAAATTAGTCTCTTTCTTTCTAAGTTCACTGCAAAATTAATGATGTTCTGCTCTGGAATTCTTTAGAAGAATTATAAATAATCATCACACTTCCCAATAAGTTTCTCATTTATTTCCAGGAAAAACTATAAGAATTTTGGATGTAATAATTTTTTTTCACTGAACAGCCACCTGTCATCAGGAATATCTTCTTTGGATAGCGAGATGGTGAATACCTGAAATATGTTATTAGTATTTGCTTGGATAAAATGATAATTTTATGCTTTATACAAAATGCTTTGCTTGGATAAAAAGTGTTTCTATGATTCTAAATTCTTGAAAACAGGAACAACTGTGTAGACCTGAGACAGCTTCAAAGAGAAAGTGAGATAGGCACAGTGGAAATAATGCCTAATATGAACTGACGTAATATGACTTGAATGAGTTAAAGCTGAGTGATATCTTAAATAGAGGACAAAGTTTCCAATTAACAGCTTGTGAGCCTCTGCCTGGAACAGATCTAATAACCACTATTGAAATGTTCAGTGATATTGCAAGGGTGTTGTGCAAATTAAGTTCTCTTTCTCTGGTTAAATAATAAAGCTTAGAGTAAACCTTCATCATTGATTTTATCTTTCTTATGAAACATTAACCTATGGAAAATAATAAATACATTACATTCAATATGTAAAATAAATAGGTTTAAAATTAGGGGAAATTGACATGACTATTTTTAATAGCTTAGAAAGAAGTCACTTAGAGGAGGGGCAAGCAAATAAGTGTCCAGAGCTGTTTATTGACATGTTGGAATTCTGGAGTCATCAAATAACTGTTCAAGATAATAAAGAGAATGGAAGCCAATCCCATGCATCATTGCTTATATGGAGGAGACCAGCTGCTAACCAGCTGGCTGGTATTATTGTGTCTTTGAGAGAGAATTGGCTCTGTGCTGCTCTGGATATTAGTGTAGGCTCTTCTGGGTGCAGTGAAGGTCTGTCCACTTGCAACTGATGGGCTGTCATGTTTCATGGCATTGCTTTTTGGCTCTGGGCAGTAGGACAAGTGCTGTATTCAGTTCACAGTTAATGCTGATTTTTTTTTTTTTTTTCTCTGAGTTCTAAAGGGTCTGTTTATTTACATTGCACAGTCCTGAATTGAAGGGAAATGTGGAGAAGTAGGAAGCTACTGCCTTTTGATTTAAAAGATAAATAATGAAGTGGGAAAGAAATGTAGATCGAATTGGGAGATGTTTCACTATGATCAAATATTCATACTTGATACTGTGCATATTTTCAGTCAAGTAAATGAGAAGCATAACAAATTTCATCATAAAGGCAGTATTATTACCTGCTGCAGAGAATAGTGAAGACTCTGTCCCAAATTTAACATGCCTGGGACATATGTTTTGGGTCACAATGAAAAGACTTGGTGAGATGAGTCTTACCAAAGCTATCCAGAAGTCATGGTATTGGGGAAATTATTATTGCCTTCCCAATTTTGATAATCCGTCATGCTGTGATAGCACATTGCCAAGAAATCACAGTTGAGATTTGCTTGTACTTTGTGGGACATGTAATTCTACTTATAACTGAACATACACAGTGATGGAATCAAATGGTTGCTATAATATTTGACAGGTCAACAGTAAATATTGCAAAGTACAAATGTTCATTGAATATATTCATAGTAATATAGAATCCCTTAATCAAACCTTAAAATTTTCATTTGTTCTTAATTTCTAATATAACTTTATTAATGGAGTAGCATAGAATTTTTGGATGCGTGACTCTTACACGTTGTAGCAATAAATGGCTGGTATATTACACAGATTTCTCGTATGATTCACACTCCTCGTGGATATGCTCTCTTAGTTGGAGTTGGCAGCTCAGGAAAGCAGAGCTTGACAAGACTGACATCCTTCATAGCTGGGTATGACACTTTCCAGATAATGTTGACAAAGTGAGAATTACCTGAAATTTAACTAAAAAAGTACTTTGTGTTTTAAGTTTTCCTATAGATAAAACAATCTCACATTCTCTGCTAAACATAGTCTGATCACTGTCACATAGAGTGGAAGGACATTAAAATCCTTTGAAACTTACTAGATTTGCTTGATTTTCTAAAATAATTGTGAATTTTTACTACCTTTGGACTAGGAAATTATTTTGTGTCTTTCACAGAATGAGAGAGAATATTAGTGGTGTCAAGTTATCTTTGAGTCTTTATACACAGTACATTAAATGGTACTGAAAATATATTTAGGTGGTTATCTATCCAAAAGGTCTTTATGAATTAATCTTGTAATATTTGAAATGCTGTCATCTGAGGATGTTGAATCTTTGTCCCTACCATCTAATTTGGTAGATCTTACATATATATCAGAATTTTGACAACCTTTACCAAGTACATTTTTGCCTTATTTCATATTGTTCAACCCAATGTGGTTTCTTTTGAAATCACTCACAAAAGATAAAAAATAAATTATAAATCCTTCTCTGAATGCCTCAGAATGAATACCTTTCCAACTGTCTGTAGTACAGGTCAATTTTGGCACTCAAGATGTCATTTTAGAAAAGTGAATTTATTTTAAATCTTTTGCAGGTGTGTTGGCTGCAGAAGAAATTTTAGGTTCACATGTGGCAATGTTCCTTGGTACAGGTCTCATCAGAGGATCTATCTGATATAAGCATGTTTTTGCCATAAGTTGATTATCATAAGACATTGTTTCTAACTTAAATTTGCTTTTTTTTTTACCCTTTTGGTCAGAAGACTTTTTTAAACTGAGATGAGTATTTGTTAAACTTTTTTTTTTTAGATCACACAACACTTTAAACTTGATGGAAGATCTGAAACTCTTATACAGAACAGCAGGACTGCAAGGCAAAGGCACCTGTTTTCTTTTTACAGACAATGAGTTCAAAGATGAGTCTTTCTTAGAATACTTGAACAATGTTTTGTCATCAGTGGAAGTAAGATGATCAATTTTCTGCTTTTTAAAATTCATAATTTTGAGGTAAAATAACATAATTTATTTGAATATTTTGTTATAGGTTGAAGACTACACTTCCAAAAACTAGAACTCAAGTGATTTTTGTTGTTAGAGTATTATTAAAAATGAATGCAGTCTACAAAATCTACAAAATCCTAGGTCAGACCAAGAGAAGCTATCTCAAGGGACATGGGAACAGCTTTAAAAAAAAATAAAATTGAGACTTGAGAAATATTACTGATGTTTTAAAAAGTTGTCTGTTAAATTTACTATTAGTGTGCCGCGCTCCCGCCCCAGATCCCTGTTCTCAGCCCTGGCTAGCTCTCGTCCTGGGGCGAGGGCGGGCGATGGAGGCACCCTCCGCCGCTCCCAGCTGGGGTTTGGAGAGTGCCTTTGTGGGTTCCGGGCAGCGCTAGCAAGCCTCGCGGTGGTAAATGAAGAGCGGATCCTG